TTTTCCAAACTTATTCACCTTTCTCTTCTAAAATTTCTCTTTCATGCATTTCGTCCTTTTTATACATTTTATTTATCATATCTTAAAATTATCATTTTCAGAAATTATCACGAATCAAATAAATTTATAACTTACTTTTTCAATATTTTCTTAATTTTTTTAACAAAATTTCCTTCCTTTCAACATAAAAATTATTAAATTCTTCAAATTATTTGCTCATATTTTAATCACTTTTGTAAAATGATAAAAATGAAAAATAAAGAGAATGAAATATTTGCTTTATCAATATTACACAGCATGTACAATTGAACATATTAGTTGATAATAAATGAATGATATCAAAATGTTAATGCGAAGGCTCTGAAATTTCTATCAAAAAAAATCATTTAAAATTATTGTGATTATTAATTAATTAATAAGATAGTATGGTTATTTTTGAAAAAAAATTCAAACGACTGCATAATAATGCATGCAAATATCATAAAATAATATTGAACTTATGGAATCAAAAAACAAAAATAATTAATTAAAATTTGTCAAAAAAAAAAAAAAAAAAACTCAATCATTCATTTAACTTATTTCTCTATTTTCCATAAATCGTTTTTTTTTTAAAAAAAAATTTCAACATAATATGTTAGTAGAATGGTATTAATTGTATCATTTTTAAATGATTAAGTAATTAATTATAGGAGTAATAAATTGTTTTTTTTTGTTGAATGATATATATTAATATATTACACAATGTTGTCGCATAAAGATCGTATTAACATCAATCATTTTTATTTGAATAATGAAATATGTATGAAAGTAATGTTATAATATTTCAATCAATATTAAACAATAATACATTAACGTTTAATTAATTATCGAATAAAATGATGAAAAATGATATAAATTGCGAAATTAATAAAAAATAAAATTTATAATTATATTAAATAATATATTTATTTCTTATTAAAATAGACATTGTAATTAAATGGAAAAATTTAAAAATTTTTGATTTTAATCGAAATAACTAAACAGGCAGTATGCAAACACTTCCTTCTTCCAACTGAATAATGTTGAGGGTGTGTGTGTGTGTGTGTGTTTGCGAGTGTGTGTGTGTGTGTGTGTGTGTCGATGTCTGTCAATCCGTTTGTGTCTGTCTGAAGTTAAATGAATCCTCTAAAAGCAAAACTATTATAAAGCTATAAAGGTCCATATACTTCTACCAACCATCACTATTACTACTACTACTACTACTACTACCATTGCTATTATTACTACTACTACTATTACTATGCTTTTAATACAACTTTGCTTTTGGGAAAGGTTAAAGAAAATAAACTTTTTTAAAACTTTTCCATTTGTTACATTTTTAGGATGCAACATAAATTTTGAAAAAATTTAAATAAAATGAATGAAAATAATAGTAAATGCAACAGTTTATATAATACATAACACATAATTAAATTTTAAATATATTTTAATCAAATTTTTGTTTTGGAAGAAGAAGCAATAGCGTATGGTTGATATTTCAATTGGAATTTAATTGAATTTTCATTTTTAACTTCATTTTATTTCTACTATAGATTTCACTTACATAAATATATCATTCTAGAGAGAGGGAGAGAGAAAGAGAGAGAGAGAGAGAGAGAGAGAGAGAGAAGGAGAAAGGGAAGGCAAAAAGGAGAAAAAAAGAAAAGCGAAAATGGAGCGAAAAGATCATTTTATTTTATATTAGAATCCACAAGTTTTTTTTTTTTTTTTGGAAAAAAAAAGGTTGTAATTAAATAAATTAATTCAATTATGCAAATAAAATTATTGGTGTCTGCTTAGTTGTCATTTAATTAATAATATAAAAGTAAAAAATTAAAATGATCGAAATAATTTCTTCCACAGAAATATAATGATCTATTAAAATTGTAACATAATAATCAATGGATGATAAAATCTATGCTTTCATTTAAATATAATAAAGAAACAAAAAAAAAAAAAAATGTGTCTGTTGAAAATTTAATAATCAATGGAGAATTAAAAAAGCAATTCAATTTGTCTGAAATTGGTGTTAGATAAATCGAATTTATTTTTTAATTAATTACAAATTATATTTCAATCAAAAAATTACATGAAAATTTTAGGAATTATAAAATTAAATGGTGAAACAATTTAGATAAAAACGTTAAATCTTGAAAGTTTTAAAATATTAGTACTTGAAAATTTTGGAAATGTGATAAAAAATGGAAACTAGTTAATATATAATTAATCATTTAGCAGTAGATAAATTAAAGTAATTTGAAAATTGAAACATTATATGGCAACATGAAATATTGAAATTTCTATATGATATGATATGATAGAATATGATTGATAAAATGCAAAGGAAATTTGATACAAATTGTGATAAATTTCATGACATCCATTTTTTGACATTAATAAAATTTTTTTCAAACAATAATTCCATCTTTGTTTTGTTTCATTCTTTTTTTTCCCTCCTTCCTGTCAGTAAATTACTTATCAGCTTTGAATAATTACAACCAAATATAACAAGCAATAATTTACAATAATAATAAGTAAACAAATAAATAAATAAGCAAGCAAATGAGTAAATAAATAAACAAATAAATAAATAAATAAATAAATAATAACGATAATTAGTGCTTAAATTAAGAGTAAATAAGATAATTATTGGAAATTTAACATTGAATAAAGGATAATTCTCATCATTATTGTTATTATTGTATGTTTATATGGAATAAATAATCGAAATAAACAATAAACTTAAAGATTGATAAATAAACGGATAAGTTTATAGTACAAATCGTTTGAGAAAGAAGAATCACATCACATTTCCTCAAGCGGAAAGAGGAAAATATTTCCGATCCGGTGGCAATGGGTAAAGGAGGCGCCAGGAAATAATAATATATGCACTCCGCCCTGATTGGTCATATACCACCGGATCATTTCACTTTTCCTTCCCCCGTTTTTTATTCTCCTTAACTTTTCATCGATTATTACCATCATTTTTTTTTCCTGAATACAACGAACAATATATCCTTAACAGGCTGATACATTTATAAATTTTTTATCAATATTTATCAATCAATTGGATGATTTATTTATGACTAATCAATTAAAATCACATTGAACAACCCTACTATAATATTAATGAATCATTTTGAATTAGATGATTCTGATGAAGGAAATTTGTATTCAAGCATATAACCTTTAACCTTGCACCACAACACATGAATGAACCACAAAATTAGGTATTTTTGATTCAAAAAATTGGCATTCACATGTAACCTTTAACCCCACACCACATATGCTTGCTAATTGCGTTAGAAAAATGGAGCTAATAATAACCGTTAACACTAATAACATTACTGACAATTAATAATAAATTACAATCACAATCAATAATGATATATTAATAAAGTGGTTTATTATTATTATTATTATTATTATTATTATTATTATTTATTATTATTATTATTATTATTA